AGTTACTCCATAATACAATTATTGTTTAATTAGTGATAAATCTATTATTTCTAGGCTTAAAAAAACTTTACAAGGACCAAATGTACTTTTCTGTTTTAACTTTACTCAAGCTCTCTCATTAAGCACATTAAGAGCATTAAGACACAGGGGTGCCAGTTCTTAATGCTCAAAGAAGTCCCTCAAATCTGAAGTTCCTCTTTCTAACCTGGCCCAGTGGCCTCTGTCAGCTTGCGCAGCCTGAGCAGAAAAACAACTCCTCAGCCCCCTGCTGCTTCTCAGCTCAGCCTCTCAGTGGCAATGACCTTCCAGGTCAACCACTGCCCTGCTTTTATTATTTTTCAATTTCTTCCTCTTTCTTCACGTCTGACTAGTTGAAGAGTTCTCCATCCCCAACAGTGAAAACAGAACTTGCAATCTGGGCCTTTTTCTTTCAGAATTAATGCTGGGGGATCTGGTGCCCCCTTGAGGTCAACACTGGGAAGTGCAACTACTGTCTGAGATGCAGATTTTTTTACCTTTTACCCATAACCATCAACTACCAAGGCCACTTCTCTATTCGACCATTGGTAAATTATCTACTTCAGCATTTCTTAAATTACATGTATCACATTAAAGAACTCAAAAAAGAAATGCTTAAAAGACTGCTAATGAAAAAGCAGGAAAAGAAAACCCGAGAACATTAGTAAGAATTATTCAAGCCCAGAAAGCTGACATAACCCAGGGTATGGAGTCAATTCTTCAATATAATCTTTTATTTAAGGAGAATTGTGTTTGGAAGTTTGTGTAAAGGAAGTTTCTTTTTCTTTTTGAAGTGACTGCAATTGTTCTCTGGAGAATGAGGACAAGAACGCATCCTATCTCCTATCAGGAAGATCAAGGAGGACATGGACGGAGGTACCTCCATGTTTTCTTATTCTTAAGCTCTTATTAGACGAAGAACTAATTTTCCCTCAAGTTTTATTGAGGCAAACTTGACATGATAAAGAACTCATTTTAATTGAGCTGTTAAGACGTTCAGGTAGGAGAGAACACTAAGAGTATTTTTTTAATCAATTTGCATTTAAGAAAGAAAGAAAAAGAATGAAAAAAAAAAAAAAGAAAGAGAGAGAGATGGAACTCCTACCTTTTGCAACAACATGGATGGAACTGGAGAATATTAAGCTAAGTGAAATAAGCCAGTTGATGAAGACAAATACCATATGATCTCACCTATAGTGGAATCTATTTAACAAAATAAACTAACGAACAAAATAAACCACAGGCACAGAAACATGGAGCAGACTGAAAGTGACCAGAGGGGATGGGGAAGGAGGACAATGGTGGAAAGAAGGGGAAGGGACTAGACAAAGAACATGTATGAATGACCCATGGACATGGGCAACAGAGTGGGGATTGATTGGGGGGTGGGCAGGGAAAGCAGTAAAAATTGAGACAACTGTAATAGAATAAATATGATTTATAAATTAAAAATAAAATAAAACAAAACAAAGAGTATTTTTTAAAATTTAAAATCAGAATAAACAAACAAAATCAACCCTGCCCCCTTTCCCCTTCTCCACCCTCCTCTGTTCTCTGCTCTCTTGTGGGCAAGTCTATCTTGTGAAGGTGAAGGAGCTGCTCCTCTCAACCCAGCTTGAGGGGCAGGTGGCATGTGAAGTCTATCAATGAAGAGCCAAGGAGAGGAGTGGAAACCCGGGTACATCTTGGCCTTGGTGGGCAGGAGGGCAGCCAAGCACAGTGCCACCCTGCCACCCAGGCAGCACTTTTCATTCAGATATGGAATATAAACAATAGCTTTTTGGGCTCCACCATCAGAATTGTAACTGGAAAACATAAATAACATCCTTCTGATTCTGGGCCAGCCTTGGGAAACCAAATAGTCAAGAAAGCTGCATAATTACCAAAGTGGCTTTCACTGCTTTTGGTGATACCAGTTTTTATGTTAGGTCTGAACCTATGGATTACGGTCTTGCAGTGCCTGTTCCGTCACGGGAAACATAAGATCATCTGCTTTTGAAAAGTGTCAGTCTGCACAGTAAAAGACAAAGTAAGTTTAATAGTGTGACTTATTTAGGAGCCACTGAATGTGCCCGGTGGCTTTGTATTTGGGGAGTGTGGGGGATGTTCAGCCAATGGAAGGCTAAAGGTGAGTCTCAGAAGTAAATTTGTTTTTATTTTAGAAGAAATATTTTATTATATATGTGTGTGTATATAAATATGCATTTAGAATTCAGGTGATAATAGATTAATGCTTTATTATTCAGTCTTATTGGAAAATACCAGGCCTCTTAGTTCCTGAGAGGCCAGAGAATGTTTGGGAAGATCATTTCACTTTGTACAACCTGTACTACACTTTTTTTTGCAACATCTTAGTAACTATAGAATTTCCAGGGCTAATTCTGGATAGTCCCAAGAGATGGAAACATAATTAACAATGCTCCATATAAAATACAAGTTATGTAGACCATCACACTTTAATTACTCTCATAATTCAACTCTAATGTAATAGGCATCAAGTTTCTTCTAGAGGAAAGCACAGCAGTCCCATGCTATCTGAGGCTTCCAGATCTCTGGTACTTCTACACAGTTCTGTCACTGCACCAAGATACTGTGCTGCAATAAATGAATCAGATGATGCAACTAGGAAACAAGTGCTTCAGGTTACCCTTTTGGTTGCTCACTTCCATCACAGAATTATTAAAGCCTGCTTGTTTTTTCTGGCACTGCAGGCATATAATGCCCAAGGAGAGCAGCCCACACCAATCAGGAACTTCCAGCTCCATACTATAATTACCTCTTTGAACCAAAAGACGCAGAGAGGTCACATCCTGACAATGCCACAATAAATTAACCCAAATAACACCCTCTGGAATCTCCCTTTAACCATAATAGAAGCTCTGAACTTCTACACACATGATCCTGATAAATGCTTTTGTACATCAACTGACTTTGAAGCTGTTGGACTAGGGAAGATTATTTTCAACTCTAAACTGGAGACTGAAGGTTGTACAGTGCAAATGTTCAATGGGAGCACCTACTTCCTCTCTCCCTTATTCACAGCAATATCTTGTGTTTATTGAATAGTTGCGGAGTTGCTCAGGCCTCATAGCCACAGGTAAAAGAGACATGGAGAAGGTTCAGAGAAGAACCACAGGACCACTGAAAGGTTGCAGAATCAAACCAAATCAGAAAAGTCCATGGAACCTGTTATTTTTCTATAGAAAGATGACAAAGAAATTTAATGAAGAACCTGAAAGCAAGGAATTAGCCCATTACTATACTTTGCCACTGAAAAACGACCAGAGAAAATTAAATTATAGCATGTTCATTTAAGTTAGAAATACAGAGATTTCTCTGATGGTGAAGGTAATGCTTGGAATGGTATGCTGGGGGCTTCTTAAAGCCTTTGTTTATTTAAAATTTTGTTGTAATTATTTTTATATAAGGCACATTCTTATTTCTTACCTTAAGATGCAACTCTTTTGAATGGTGAGGTCTAAATGTTCAAAAGAGGTCAAGCAGTAATTTTCCTTATAAACAAAGAGACAGACAAGCAAACAAACAAACAAACAACCTCTCTTTGGGCTCTCTTAGCCTTTATACCTATCTTCCTTCCTTCTCTTTTTTTCTTTTCCCTATCAAACAGTATGAATTTTCAAATCAGTTGGGTTCAATTTGTGCCACCTAGCGTATAGGTGAAAGCAGCATGGCTACTGATGACTGCAACACTAGTCACGGTCACCTGGGAGGACCCCAATGTGAAGACAGAGAGGAGTCAAGGACATAAAGAAAAAGGTGAGCCTTGGACAGCCATAGGTACACTGCTGGGGAAGGACTGGGACCAACACCAAGGCTCATAGGAAGAGGGCAACTGATACAATTATGATTCCTTTACATAGACCCCAAGGTGAAAGCAAAAAGGAAAACAGAAAGTTACAACCAAATTAGACAAATAGAAGCTATCTGGGAGATGGGAGTTGTGTTTATTCAGCCAGCCTCAGAGCACTCCATGCACAGGGCTTCACACCTCCCAAGCAAGTCTCAGGTTCGTGGGAAGGGTGAACATGCTCTCCTGCCCAGTTTCCTGGCCACCAACTTAAGATCTGACTGTTCACCATGTCTCTCTAAACTAATTTTCTCCATCTGTACAAAAGAAGGGAATCCCTGTGCTATATTTCCCCCAGGTTATCAAAGTTAATGAAAAATCATGTGAGAACCACTGAGGTTCCTGTAAGACAGATGCCCTGGGGGCATGGCACCTCCTTGTAGTTTTTGAATTATTTCTTCAGGGTGCACTGGTCTTTATTCTTGTTCTTACAAAAATGCACATAAATTCCAGAATTGCCTCCCAGAGGGAGAAAACACCCCATCCGACCAGGTCCTGAGGACTGCCTGGGGAGCTGGCTGCGTGAGCTCCTGACTTCCCAGGCCTAAGAAGTCCTGAGGAGAAGGGAGACAGGCAGCCAGTGTACAGAGCTAGGTCTCAAGGATGGGAGGCTTACACCAAAAGAAAACTTAACAAAATTCTGATTCTGAATTCTGAGTAATTGTTTTTGTTGTTTTAACCATTTTTCTGGGGTTTTGTTTTATTTCTCTTGAGTATTTTATTTTTCCTTTAGTGGAGAGCTAAAAGTTTACTTTTGAATGTTTTCTTTGTTAATTGATTCCTCTTCTGGTTCTTAAAATTTTCATTTTTTAAAACTTATTTTTCATGTGGAAATAAAATACTATTTTTAAAAAGATTGTTGTCCAAATATCAGTTCTTATGAACATACCACATAAGGTACAACAATCAAGTAAATCTTGAGTGTCTCTTTATTTTTGACATATGCTCTAAATACGCAGAAAAGCCCCCTGTTAGATATTTTTACAGTAAAATGTAAATACATCATTATTTTAAAGGTGTAAATTGTTCTTTTGTTTACATTTTTCCCCTTGTTCAGACCAAATGAAATGATACCCAGCACCTTAAGGATTTTTATCCTAATACCAGCACATACCAGCAATGAATCTTTCAGAAAGCATTCGATCCTTCTCAGAAAATTTCTCTCACTGAAGATTAGCTGTTCGAAAAGATGCAGCGTTGCTTTTTCAAGGCTGGGAAGGTGTCGAAGCCAGAGGCAGACTATAGCTGATTTAGGGAGAGAAATCTTCTTCCTTTCAGTAAGAAACAAAAATTTTAAATAAAATTTTAAAATTTTAAATAGGTTACAGAAAAAAGATTAAGAGAGATTAGAATGCAAAAATGAATCTAATTTGTAAATCTCTTCTTCATGGTCATAGCAGTAGTCAATATTTGTAATATCAAAGAATATTGACCAAGAATCTATTTGCAAAATAATGTGACTAAGCTTCCGCTTCAACTAAAAAAATTAGAGAAATGTTCAAAAGAAAAAAAAATGCTTTCAAAAGAATAAACAAATATACAGTGATGGAAAACAAAGTGGTAAAAGATGAGATGGAAAAAGGTGTTGAAATATCAAGGTACATGCAGTCTCTAATTTAAGAAACAGTTATGCTTGAAAGTGCATCATGATGGTGTGTGGAATGAAACCTGGGTTTGAGTCCCAGACCTACCACCTACTAGCTCTATGACCTTGGGGAAGTTAATGAACCTCTAAACCGCAGCTTATGCATCTGTAAAGTGGGCCCATTTCCCTCACAGTGTTGTCGGAATAATAAAATGCAATAATAACACATGTAAAGTGATTTGAACAGTGTTTGATACCTAATAAATATTGAATAACATATTTGTAAATCTGTTGCTTAAAAGTTAAAAAATATTTTTCTTTAGCACTGGCCAGGAGTTGAAGTGTCATCCTGTGCCACGAAAGGTTGTGGTTCCAATCCCTGGTCAGGGCACATGCCTAGGTTATGGGTGCGATCCTAGGTTGGAGCATGTATGGGGCTGGGGTGCACAGCAATCAATCAATGTTTCTTTCATGTCGATTTTTTTTTCTCTTTCTCTCTTCCTTCCTCTTTAAAAAAAATCAATAAACATATTCTTGGCTGAGGATTAAAAATTTTTTTTCTTTAGTAACAATTTCACAGATGGTAGTTATAGCCTGCTTTAATGCATAGTTGATTCACAGCATGAGGCTCTATAGACTGCAACCATTTTGTGTAGCTCACTTTCTACAGGAAAAGATACTTAGAGGTTCCTCTTGTGTGTATCAGGGGTCCTACTTCCCCTCTGGGAAGAAGTGTGAAGGGGACATCTAACTCTTGAGCCACTGGGCCCAATCTGGCCTGGTGGGACTTGCCTGTCTTCTTTCAACCCAGGTTTTCTAAAGCCTGCAGCATCACAGGCAGCAGAGTGCTTTCCATGTTCTGCCAAAAAATGTTTACTGCTTTTAATAAGGAAAACAAAAGCTGGGGCACAAAGGTTCCCCATCACCCAACAACTCCTTCAGTGTCTTTCCCTTCACCATCGTTTCTGGGCCATTCCTCTGCAGGAGCTAGCCGCAAGCGCAGGGAACGGGCGCAGGGTAGGAAGTGAATAGACAGGAGATACATGGTAGCAATTTCTAGTGGCTTCTCTTTCTTCTCTCTTGGCATAACTTCTGCAGACCTTGTCCTGGATTAACTCTGAAGACAGACTAGAAGGAGCTGAAGTTTTGCAGGGTCTGCCACAGAAGTAGGCAGAAGGTCAGGAGAAAAAGAGGAATGAAGGGATGTCCCTCCTCTGACCCTCTTTCTGATTTCACATTCTCCCCTTGAGCTTCAGCTCTTCTTGGGAATCTTGCAGGATCTCTTTTCCTACCTGCCCACACCTGGCAAAGAAGAGGTGCCACCATGTCCCAACCCTGTATCACTTGGCATATTTTGTGGCCACACTGTGGATATTTTCTACTGCGGCATCGGTGCTATGGGCTGCCTTTCCCAAGCCACCTCCCCTATTATACTTGATGGCAAGAAGCTGGTGATCATTCAGTCAAAGAAGACAACTGAGCACTTCCTGTGTGGAACTAAATGTGCCAGGTGCAGACCAAACAATTAAAAACAAAACAAACTTAATCTGTACCATTAGCAGTTCAGGTCCCAGTGGAAAGTGTACATATGTACATACACATACCAAATTGTGCTAAAGGCAACGAAGGAGAAGAGGCTAAAGTAAAAGAGGGTAATTGGGGTGTGGGACAACTAATTTAGATCAGGTGGTGGGGGATTAGCTGGTGAAGAACAGTGGGAAGAGCTTTCTAGCAGAGGGAACAGTAGTTGTGATGGCCCTGAGACAAGGAAGAGCAAGGTCAGAAGACAGACGACCCAGACAGCAAAGGTAAGGTGACCTGAGATACAGCTGTGCAGTACCACAGGCCAAGATAAGAGATTAGGATTTTATTCTCTGGTTATTCTGGCCCAAGGATTTTAAACAAAGTGCTAGGATGCAGAAAAATGTCAGGATGCAGTTTACAATTCAAAGATGATGCTAGGGGGACTTCGGTCAAGATGGAGGAGTAGGTAAACACACCTCATATCCTCACACAACCACACCAAAGTAACATCTAAACTAAGAACCATCATTCAGAATTGTTACACTGTGCTGAATCGAAGCCTGACAACTATGGAATTAAAGAAACCATATCCATCCAGACTGGTACGGTGTGTCAGAGATCAGAAGAGGCTAGTCCCACATGCACGTGTGGTGGATAAAATTCGGGAACGATATCTCAGGAGTGAGAAGTCCGAACCTCATACCAGGCCAGCCAGCCCAGCGTTCCAGTGCCAGGAAGATAAGTCCCTGTAACTTCTAGCTACAAAAACCAGTAGGGATTGAGTTGGTGGAAGAAACTTTTGGAGCCCCATGCAGTTCCTTTTAAAGAACCACACACTGACTTAATTATACTCACTTCTTCTGAGCTCCAGCAACAGGGTAGCAGCTTGAAAGGCACCAATGGCACATGGTAGGACGTGATTTGCCTGGCTTCAGGCTGAGAGCTGGAGGGCAGTGTTCTCCTAGGCAGAAAGGTGGGCTGAGGCCACTGTTGCACTTCTAAGCCCTCCCTGCACAGTGCCACAGAGCTGGCAGGCAGGTTCCATACCTGAGACTCCATCAACTTGGCTAAAAGGTTTATTATGCCCTGGATATCCCCCGAGGCTCCATCCCACCCAACTTACAGGCCCTCGCAAGCTGTTAAAAGTGGCTTTTCCATATGAATGGCTGGTTTTGGCTCATGCTTCAGACCTTCCTAAATCCTCTCATGAAGGAACACCAGCCTCAGCAAGACCTCAAACCTCTATCTCTTGCTAAATGGCCCCAGGCCCAGCACTGGCAGCATCTAGCCTAAGTTCACAGCTTGGCTTCGCCTGGGAAACTCCAAACCCAGCATAAGGGGCAGCCATCTCAGATTGCTTTATAGCTCTTGCAGGGTGGCCCTGGGCAGAACACAGGTGAGGACTGAACATGGCCCGCACCACCCAGGAAGCCCAAGCCTGCTCACCCTGTACAGAGCTACAGACCACGTCTAGAGCACTACCACCCTGCCCCTGCACAGCTGATCCTCCATGAAGAGTGGAGGTTGGTGGTCAGTGGTCACAGCCAGTTGTTCCAGCTGACTGGCCTAGGTGAGTGTCACCCATAGACCTTGCTAACGGCAATCAAGGCTTAACTACAAGAGGACAGTGTACTCAACCCACAAGGAGGGCACACCTTGAGCACTCAGATTTGGTGACAGGGGAGGCTATGCCACTGGATACTACAGGACACCTATTACATTAGGCCATGTTAACGAGACAGGGAGGTTGGTAGCAGCTCTACTTAATCATAGGGAGGCTGCCAAAATGAGGAGACAAAGAAACAATGGCCCAAACGAAGAACAGATTAAAATTCCAGAAAAAGACCTAAATAAAATGGAGATAAACAATCTATCAGATGTAGAGTTCAAAACAATGGTTATAAGGACACTCAAAGAATTTAGTGAGGACCTCAGCAGGTTAAAAAAGATTCAGTCAGAAAAGGATTCAGAGAATTGGAAAGATGGCGGAGGAGTGAAAGGGAGTCACGCTGACCTCCTCCCAAAACCAAACTGGAATTGCAACTAAATAATGGAGTAATCACCTGGAAAGCAGTGGAGCGATAGTGGGAGAGGAGCCTTGGTGCCGCGGACAGTGGATTCGACTCTCACACATCCCAACGGATGAGAATTGCGGTGGAGGCTCGAGAGGGTGGGCTGGGTGCGCACGGGCACTGGCACCAGAGGGACATTGAAACGGCCAGTTAGCTTCCCCCGAGAAGAACGGGGTCTGAATCATAAACAGGAACCCCTAAACTACAGCAGCTAAAGCCGAGAAAATACAGACAAAACGCAACCCCAAAAAGCTTAGGGGCGCTCTCTGCCAGAGACAGGTGGCTGGGGATGCAAAAAGACATTTAAAGGGCAAACGCAAAAGTTGCAGCGGCAGCCACCCTCCTTGATCGCTGGGTACAGGCGGCAGCAGGGTGGGCTGGTGCCTGGGAAAAGACTGCTGAGGAAAACTTGTGAAGAGAACTGACACTGCAGCCGGTGGAGCCCGGGTGATAACGCACTTCCCACTCTGCAGCTACCATCTCGCTCAGGCAAAAGGGAATCAATTAACCTGCCTTTTGTGCGCTCCGCACACAGCTTGTGCGTGTGAGCGGCGGGGCTGAGTGCAGACTGGCTGGGAGAGCATTGAGGAGAGACTGGAGACGGAGGCATTGGGGAAAGAATGGGAGGAGGAACCGGGGAGCCCCGACTCCCTCCACGTTCAGTAGTCTCCATTGTGGGCTGGAAAGGCGCGACCCCAAAGAGGCAGAAGCGGGGCGCGCATGAACCAGACTGCCTGCGATTGAAACGCAGTCCGCACAGGGGTTGGATCCTCGGCCGAAGGGGTCACAGAACTGCCCAGAGGCCCCTGAGGGGAGACTAGAAACGGAGGCATTGGGGAAAGAACGGGAGGAGGAACCGGGGAGTCCCGACTCCTTCTCCTTGCCGAAGTCTCCATTGCGCGGGAAGAGGCCACACCCCCAAAGAGCCAAAAGCCGAAAAGCAAACATAGACACCCCCAAAACACCCAGAGCAGGCGCGCACACTTGCGCCGAGTGACTGGCGAGGGTTGGCGAGCGTGTGTGTGACCCACGCGGGCTGGCGAACGCTTGCACTTGCCGGCAAACCCTCACACAGACTGGCACCCATACT